GAATATCAGCTTGGAGGGTTCAGGGTATCTCCTAGTCGAGCAGTCTCGACTAGAGTCTTCTTGCTTGTTTAAATTTTAAATTGTATTAAAATACATAATAACTGTATTCATAGTATACCATATTATTTGATTTTTATCTATTTTGTTTACGTTTTGATTAACTTTGATTATATATTTCTCCAATATCGCATCCAAGGCATTTTATGTTTGCATACTTTGAGGCTGCTTCTGCTTCTGGCGATGATGAATATGACGATTATCATGTTTCATAAAAAAGTTAACATACTTAGTGCAATAGCAGTTTGGGTTTTTCAAGGCTTAATAACTTTATGAGGCCGCACACATAATCTAGATAAGACGTCTACCGAAAAGTTACAGCCGAAACTACCGATATTGGATTCAGGCCCCAATCGCAGCTGATTGCACAGAAGAAGTACATATAAATCAAATCGATTGTTCGCCAATTACAAATTTATTCAGACATGTGACACAAATGAGGCATTCGTGGGGGCCTTCGGTCAACGCTGGAATATTTTCAGGCCAACGTTACCTTGGACTTAATCCAGTCGACATAGTGGAAGACGTTGGCGTAAACGCCCGGATGCGTGGGCAGAGCGCATGATCTGCCCCAGGAGACGACGCCTTGCAGCTTATTCTTAACGATCAGCGGACCACCAGAGTCACCCTGGCAGGCATCCTTGCCGCCCTGGCCGCGCACACCTGCGCACAGCATGCCCGCCGTGATGCGCCCGCCTCCGTAATCCTCGTCGCAGACCTTATTGCTAACGATGGGCACATCGACAGCGCGCAGCTGATCCGATGGCGTACCGCCGGACTGGGTGGTGCCCCAGCCGCTGACAGTGCTTATGGCACCATCGGTCGTTGGCTCTGTGGGCAGCTCGATTGCTCTCATGGTAAAGTTGTTCAAGGGTAGCGGCGAGCTCAGCCGGAGCAGAGCAACGTCGTTGTCGAGGTTGTCGGGATTGTAGTTCTCGTGCATGACGATTTCGTCAACGGAGACGATGATGCCATCGCTGCCATTCCTGCGACTGGTGCCTGCCACGACCTTGAACTGAGAGGCCACCGAGCCGATAACGCAGTGCGCCGCCGTGATGATGGTGTCCTTGGTGAGGATGGAGCCCCCGCAGGAGTGTGTAAAGGCATTCTTGGGAGTTGTGATTCCTTTGCGCCGCAGTGAGATCTGATGCGGATAGACCGCAATGTGCGTCTCATAGCCGCCCACAATGCGGCCGTTGGGTGAGCCCGAGTCGGAGTCCTGCAGAGGCAGTGCTCCAGCCAAGGAGACGAGGGCCAGACAAAAGCCGAGCAGCAAAGGTACCACGTGCGCCATCTTAAACAATAGCCGAAAGACTGAAAGACCAAAAACCCCAGAGGGCCCAAGCCGACGGATCGTAAAACCTCTTATCGATCGTTGGTCATCAAAGATTAAATGGAAATAGTAAAAGTTTAATGGATGCATTTAAATGGTCATACACTAGTGCGATAAGGCTAAAGGCTTCTTTTATGGAGCCCGCGACTAATCAGCGGGCAATCAGACGTGTTTCGCCAGCTGCTCGGCAATCCATGCGCGGAAATATGGCACCGAGGTGTACACGCTCGGGTACTCGGGACGGGCACAGCCCTCGCCCCACGACACAATTCCCACGATCTTGTCAGCCACTACCAGAGGTCCGCCGGCGTCCCCTTCGCAAGCATCCTTGCCGCCGCCAGGCGCCGCTGCACAGAGCATGCGCTCGGTTATGGGTCGCCAGTTGTAGGCAGCCTGGCAGACGGTGCTGTCCACCAGGGGTATCTGCACCTGCTGCAGCTGGGGAGAGCCGAACCCATCTTCTTTGGTCAGGCCCCAGCCGGAAACGCTGCCTACCGTGCCCGCAGCGGGCACCGCCTCAGCCAGATCGATAGCGGCGATCTTGCGCTGGCCCACGGGCAGCGGAGGCGACACAAAGACCAGGGCGATATCGTTGTCAGTGATGGAGGCATTGTAGAGCTCATGCGGCACTAGCTTCTCTACGCGTGTCACAATGCCTCCGTCCATGCCAGTGCGCACGTCCGAGCCAGCCACTACCAGGAAGCTCTGCTCCAGCCGATTGTAGACGCAGTGAGCTGCTGTGATGATGGTGCGCTCGTCCAAGACGGCGCCGCCACAGCTATGGGCGTAGGCGCTCTTAATGCCATTCCGTCTGCGCAGCGACACCTGGTAGGGCACAAAATGCGCTGAGACGGTTTCGCCACCGACAATGCGTCCCTGGGGACGCTCCAGGCAGCTACCAATGCTGCAGACTACCGACAGCGCTGCAATTGCGAGCAATGCGTTGTTCATTTCAATGTTTGGCCAAAGACTAACAGCGCCATTTGGTCGAGCCTGCTTACTCACTATCAGCGGGGCTCTTTAGCCGGCCAATAAATTGTCCAATATTGGGCGCGATAAGGTCCACGATAATACACAGGGAAAGTTCCCAGTAGCGGGTATTAGTCTAATCTGAGTCATGACTAAGTTTGTATTTGCCAATCGCTAACTCCGAAACTATTTATTCAAGCAGGTTGCTTGGTACGCAACGAATATACATATATGTGTGTAAAACTTTCGAGAATATAAATGGTCAAAATTGACAGATAATCTATGATTTAAGAATTTAATTGTCTTATATATAGAATAACAAAAGATTAACAAAAGATAACTAGATATTGTCCGTACGGAGAATTTTCGGTTTGAGCTTCTATAGGCATACATAAGTCCATCGCATATACAAATATATACATACATTTAATTTATCCCATTATAATTCGTGGCACATATGTTTAAAATATCAAGTCTCTAGCTTCAATAGCGGTCCAATCAGTTGCATTCATACGAACAAACGGACGGACATTGCACAAACCCAATATCCTCATGTCACTTGCGTGAATTATAATAGTAACAATAGTAAAATAAATAATAGAATGTACATAAATTTATAAGGACATAATATTGTTATATGCGTAAAATATAATGCGAATAACTGTACAAAAAAGAAGACTTTTTCTTTCAGTTAACCATAGTTATAAACCCAAGTGCAACCCAAATTAGCACCCGTATTTTCATTTGGTTTGTATGACCACTAACCAGAGAACACATAGACTAGACAACTAGTGGAAAGCTTTTTGCACGC